GTTTGTTTTTGGTGAGCAGCTGGTCCCGTGAAACTTAAAGGCGATGCATGGTAGGTGGGAACGAGAACGAGAAAACACCTGTAGGATATCATATGTGTGGGTGTTGGCAGGAGTTTGATAGCGTTATTGACGAACACGGCCGCCGAAAAGGGTTTAAGCTGATCCCCCTGTACTTAACACACTCATCACGAGCCCCTTTATTGAAACTGGGCACTATCACCGGCTCTCCTCAGGTGTCTGCGACCGTCTCCTTCGCCCAAATGCAAGCAAGCAGATCAGACTGGCGTTCAACAGACTTCACCCCGTCTTCAAACAATGATGGTGGGAGGATATCCGAACCAGAAGCTCGGTGGCGCTTGAGAGAATATACACAGTCATAAACCTCCGAGGCCGTAGGCAGTTCCACGTCCACCGTCCAGGGCTCTACGCCACCTGTGGCTCAAGATGAGTGCCGGCTGGAGGCCGCGACAGTTGTTGTTCGAAGTATTCACCCACCGATCGAGGCGTTCTTTTTTATTCGAGATAGTCGTTACATTCTAATGTTTGATGGTTTCACTCACGGGTGGTTTCCAGGGGCCATCATCATCATCGACAGCATGATATCAGTGTTCAACACCGATGCTTCACTGCCATACAACCACGATTTAGTTGAAAGCCTTATTGTAAAGAAAAGAATAAAGGTGGGTGGGAAGGGACTCAGTGCTTGTTTACCACAAGCATTCAAAGGTGTCTAAACCTCCAGACATTCACTCAGGCAATCTGGATAGAAACTGACAACAAGAACGTCACTTGCATCGGTTGGCAGCCATATCTTCTAGTGTCTCCAACCAGGCACAGTGAGGATTACGCGGTGCCCATCCTGGAAGGCGAGTAGCACCGACAGCACCCAAGCGTTTCGTGATCTTATCCATACTCCTCTGTCAAGTTAAGGGTTGGCCACCTCTCTATTTACGCCACTCTGAATTGGGCATGGAAAACAGCACTCTCTTCGGTAAACGACGGTTCGGCATACGCAACACATGTCCCAACCAATGCAGCTTCTGGTGCTGGAAACAGTCTTCAAGGTAGGTACCTGTCGCACAACCGAAAACGCGCTTTCTAACTGCCTCGTTACGGATTCGCCGACACTAACCCACACGAGACATGGTTCTGAGACAACGATTGTCGAAAACCTGAAGACGTCTCAGTTCCGCTGCTCGAATAGGCCAAGTCTCACAGCCATACAACAAAACAGCTCGTACTGTAGCTTGATACACACGTCCCTTGAGGTTCATAGATAAACCACTCTGACGCCATAGGTGTCTCAAATTAGCAAACACGGTCCGAGCCTTGCAGATTCGTGCATTCACCTCATTTGTCACACTACGATCAGAACTAATACAACTTCCAAGCTACGTAAAATGCTCCACAACTTCCAGTACCTCTCCCTAGATTGTAAGTGGCGTGTTCAGTGACTGCACATCCACGAGCATGACCTTACACTGTGTAGGTGCAAAGTGCATACTTTGGTTGGTTCATCTAAAAATACCTGCGCCTTCTCCTCCTCTTCGATGATGAGAACGATGTCTGCATACCTCAGACCGGCGAGGTTTTCGTCACAGGCTTTTGAAAACCTGGGTTTTGGAGACATTCCAGCACTCATAATTTCATGGAAAACGAAGTTAAAAAGGAATAGAGAGAGTGGGCATCCCTGAAGAACACAACTTGGTGTACGAAGCTCTTGGGGCGCTCGCCGTATGCTCTCACGTCCGGGAGTTTGAGAATACAAAGAAAGTACTAAATTCACAAAATTCCGGGGCAGTCCTTGGTGGGCAAGCGTGTCAAGAACAGACCGATCAACCGAGGAAATACTAGAATTGTGGGTCGCTTATACATATGGCATTGTTCTAGCAGCTGATGAAGTGTGAAGAGTTGGACAACACAACCCCTCACAAGCAAGAATCCCGCTTGATGCTCTCGAGTAAGTGCTTCACGAGTCACCGTAAGGCGACGAAGCACAAGTGATGCCAACAATCTAGTTACGACCGGAGTCAAGCTGATCCCCCTGTGTTTACCACACTCATTACGAGCCCCTTTTTTGAAAACGCGCACTCTCTCCGGGTGACTGCGATCGTCTCCTCCGCCCAAATGCAAGCAAGCAGATCAGACAAGCTTTGACTAAGGACTTCACCCCGTCTTTGAACAATGATGGTGGGAGGTCATCCGAACCAGGAGCTTGGTGACGCTTGAGAGAACATATGCAGTTGTAAACCTCCGAGGCCGTAGGCGGTTCCACGTTCACCGTAAAGGGCTCTGCGTCACCTGTGGGCCCTAGATGAGTGCCGGCTGGTAGCCGCGACGGTTGTTGTTCGAAGTATTCAGCCCACTGGTCGAGGAGTTCTTTATATCAGTTGACCGTTCCATTCTGATGCTTGGTGGTTTCGCTCACAGATGGTTTCCGTGGACCGTTTGTAGGGATCAACTGAAATAATCTTTGGGCATTACCGGCTTAAAGTGCTCGATCCAACGGCCGAGGCACCCTTCTCTATTGAGGATGATCACGCCACAGCGATCACCAATGATTTCGCTCACAGGCCTTTTACAGGGATCAATCACGCAGAATAACCGGAATAACCTCCCAGTACTCCTGGCACTATTCGCCTCTTCCCTCTTCTTTCTTAGCCCTGCGTGCACCAGGCTTCACGGTCGGCGCGCACTCTGAGTTTCAATTGACGTCTGATGATTCGTCGGGCTGAATTATGGTCTTAACCGGTAGAAGCATTTCCCCGAGCTTCAAGTAGTGCCACTGATCCGTCTGAGATCCAGTGTTTGAAATGACCTGGAAGCACCATGCCACAAACGGAACTCCCTGATTTAACGATCTCATTCCAGTAGGAACGGACATCCGACGGCGTGGCAGTCGGAAGAGTCCAGAAAACTTCCGATAAATTCGGTCAACTTCGGAATCTACCAGCCTCTCAGTTGACAAGCGAGTTGCCCACCCTTTGCGCGGTACCGGAAGTCAAAGAGAGAAGAGACCCCGAACGAATCCACACAAGTGTTCCAAAACGAATGACGGTCAGTTGTTAACCAACGCCATCAGACACTCATCATCATCATCAATGACAGCAACATCAGCGTTGGCACTGATGCTTCACTGCCGTACAACCATAAAGTTCGTTTAGTTATATATATATATATATATATATATATATAATTGTATTAAAAGCCCTAAAGTGAAGAGAAGAGAAAAAGAGTGGGTGAGGGAGGGGACCTAGTGCTGGCCTAT